CAACATACCTTTCGGAAATCATCATTGGGAAGATTTTCGATCAAGTTAGCTCCTGATGAGAAGAATCCTCTTCCTAGAGGACTGTATGCAACAATGCCGATGCCAAGTTCCCTGGGAAAATCGAAAATGAGATTAGCATGAAATTTTACCTACTTTATAAACAAATCAGTTAGTTCCATTAAGACTCACCGGCAAGTAGGAATTATATCTTCCTCCACATCTCTTGACCACAACGACCACTCCAACTGCACAGCTGTTATTGGATGAACAGCGTGTGCTCTTCTTATTGTAGAAGCAGAGGCCTCGGATAGGCCAATGTACTTTACCTTACCTTCTTCAACTAGTTTCTTGAGTTCCCCAACCTTGTAAATGACATGATAAAGGAATTTAAGGAATGACATGCATTTCTCAAAATAAGTGAATCATGATACATGCCAGTACAAAAAAGAATAATACTAACAGTCAAGTATATAAGGAAAGTAACATAGCTACAGCCTACAAGAAATTTATGCTAAAGTTTGTGTAATTTGACTAATTTAGATACGATATATGCACTTAAATAGATACAAAAGAACCTAGTGCTCAATCATGTTAACCAAATGGTGGTTCACAAATCTCCAAACACACTTGCTTAATTCAAGATTCAAAATTTAAAAGATCTGGGCACTAGAGGTAAAAAATACAAATTTCTCCTATATCCAGTGCAAAGTTCAGACATATGATAAAGATAATAACTGAGGGTCAAACAAAGAAAAAATCAAGATGAAATATTTTTCAGTTAAAATCAGTAAGAAGATTTACACAAACCATCATCTGAAATTGTTGATAAATAACTAAGAGTAATTCAAACTTTTATAACTAGTTCATCGTCACTTGACGCTTAGAGATATGAAAATACACTCATCGGGAGATTCTCCAATAAGCATTTTATGTTAAGGATTGGTTACATCTTCTAATCTTGGCCGTTGGATTGCCTTCATTAAATATGTTGGTAGTCTCTTAGATGCAATCCAACGGCCAAGATTAGAAGCATGTAACCAATACTTAACTTAAATACTTATTGGAGAATCTCCCTACACTCATCAATGACAACCTTTTCACGCTTGAACAACTCAACACAACTTAGTTTAGAAAATGGAACTAAAAATGGGGTTCCAATCAAAAAGAGATGTGGTCAAACCATACTTCTACTTCGTAGAACACAAGCGAATTTGAATGTGGAATTGATAAAATTGTAAACTAATAAAATGATAGAAGATGTTGTAGATCTTTGAATAACCATGACTTCAATAGACTGGCAGATGCGTAGTTACTAATTTTAATTAGTCCCCCTCGAGCACCATTCTTACTAAACACACATTTCTTGTTTTCTCAATTCAATGGATTATGGAAACTATATTATCATATGAAGTATCAACCCAATTGTTCTGCGATTGTAATTAAAAAGAGATCAAAATTCAAGAGAGAAGAAAACAAACTGTGACTTCAATGGGGACGCAAGTATCAATCCGATGCTGATAATAGAGATCAACAGAATCAACACCAAGGCGCTTCAAACTACCCTCAATAGCAGCTCTCACATAGGCAGGGTCACCTCGAATCTCGCTCTTGTTATCAGCAAAACTGATACCAAACTTGGTGGCCAATTCAACCTTCTCCCGTACCCCACCCTTCAGAGCCTGTTCCTCATCAATCCAACAAAATCCAATTCACTTCATCATCAATTACAATCAATTAAACAATTTAAACAAAACCCAAAAAGCAATTATGTGTATCATTGTCTCTCTCAGTCCTTGTGCTTGGCTTAGTAACTTAAATACAGGAACAATAGTGAACACAACCCAATTCACTTCATCATTAGTTCATCCCATTCAACAATACAACAGAACCCATAAAGCAATTTTACAAATTATTGTCTCTCTCAGTGCTTGTGCTTGATTTAGTAACTTAAAGACAAGAACAAGAGTGAACAGAACCCAATTCATTTCATCATCAAGTCATCCAATTTGAAATCCCAAACAAACCCAAAGGCAATTGATACAAATTAAGAGCGATTACTAAGAAGCAAAGTCAAGGTTAGTGGGGTACCTTGCCAAGCAGAATTTCGTTGGTGAAGGGACCGTAGATGTCAGATGTGTCGAGGAAAGTGACGCCGGAGTCAATGGCATGGTGGATGAGACTGATCATGTCTGCGTCGGGCTTGGGAGGGCCATAACAGGCAGACATGCCCAGACAGCCCAGGCCTTGAGCCGAGACCTCAAGGCCCTGTGAACCCAACTTGATCCTCCTCACTCCTCCTGCCATTTTGGAACTGTGGTTTTCTGTGTTTTCTGAACTGAAGCAGCAAAGTGAAGGACTGATAATGCATCTTGCTTCTCACTAGTTTTTATATATAAAGATAAAAAGAAAGTGGATATAAAGATATAAAGATATCTCTATCTGAGCAACAATGGGCACAAACAGTAGAGTTGGGGATGTGGAGTGGTAGGTGAAGCCAAAAGGGAAATTGGATTGCGTAAGGGCGTGCGTTTGCATTGATGTTATTGAGCATTCCGAACGGGGAGAGAGTGGAATGTGCTTTCAGCCTGACGAAGGATTATTCCCTGCCAATAGCGCAATGACGCGCGAAAAGAGAGAGAGAGAGAGAGAGGAATGTTCTTTCAGTCTGGCGAAGGCAGCAGCGGGTCAAGATGGGAAGGAAACAAGTGAAACAAAGTTATTTGACTTTGGAGCGTAAATTTAAGCCTAGATGACATTTTGCACTCTTGTAGTTTAGTGCCTCCTCTCCTCTGACAATGTCGTTGTCTTCCTATAAAATAAAATTAGACAACAATGTGATTGTCTTAGAAAAATTGAACAAAAATTTTCTCCCCAAAAAAAGAAGCACAAAATCATTTAAAACTACAACTAGAGATCATTGTCTGTCCGTAACTTCTATTTCTCAAGTGACATATGGCAGAACAATTTTTTGCTCCGGTTCTCACCCCAAATGGAAATCAACACTGTTCATTCTTTCTGATTCTAACAAAAAAAAATTATTCAATCCAATTTGCCCATAAGTCGGTTGGATTTCTGATTTTGGATCCTTTTTTTTTTTAAATACATTTTTTTAACTTTTTTGTTTTGGTACAAAACCCAATTAAAATTTTACTTTTTGGGGATTAAAAATTCTGAAATGGTCCAATTTTATACAAAGAGAGGTGATTGGGCCTAGAAAATAGAGGTGATTTGGTGTTGAGCTTGGGGATAGATTAGTTATGGGTTTAGAAGTTTAGTATTGGGGTTAAATATTTTATTAAAAATACACATCCAGTCCCCTTTTTTCACTAGAAGAACCTAAATTGGAACCGAATAAAACTGGTTTGGTCCAATTTTTGATCAACTCAACTCGATTTTTGGTCAACCCAATTTGTTTTTTTTCCCAATTCGGCTCAGTTTTTCGATTTTTTTGTTTGCATGCCCACCCATACTCTATATACACAAAAAATTAAGGTTTCTTTAAAAGAAATTTTTTAGTATAAGCCATTGAGGAAGAGGGGTTTGGACAAATTCATTGGGTGTCTGGGGTCTATCCTCACATGAGTGGAGGTGGAAGAGCTTAATTAACTGAGTTATACCCTAATGGCTTGTGAAAAGTACTCTTACTTATTGTCGATATGGCATATTTTAATTCATCTGACATTGACTTGGTTTTTATGTAATGTAAGAAAAACATGGACTCACTAGAATAACGTGTGACTTTATAGTAAGATAGAAGAAGGGATCAATGGTGTGACAATTTGTAAATTTAAGGTTGCTGTTGTCATTTATATTTATTTATTTAAATAAAATAAAAAAGAGGGACTAAACTGTTAACGGATCGAAATCAGAATGGTGGAAAGTGTAATTAACCATTATTTAAATAAGAGTGAAATGTAGTGCAATTATGGACTTTGAATTATTACTGCTTTCCCGCTTTATTGTATAGCTCTAAAAAAATCCAAGGAATAAGATAAAAGGCATTCAGAAACGGATCACGGCCATAAAATGTGACAAATCATATCATATTACAGTTTATAATATCTTCATTATTTCTACATAGGAATGTCAAATTTGTAGATTGCATTAATAACTCGATATGATATTGCCATATTGGTGTTCTTTACAGGGATGATATACATGCTTGATCAAAGACTTCTCTGCAACAGAACAAGAATTATAGACTCAAATCTATAGATTGGTTTCAGAGTGTTGATGACAGAATCCTGTTGATCAGGTCTTCAAAATTCAAATGGGAACCCATGAAAGTGAACTGGTTGAGCTCGAGGTGAGAGACCCAGAACTGAAAACCATGGAAGGGAACTCCTAGAGCTTGAGGTGTCGGCATCCAATGGGCGTCATGTTCGAACGGGCTTTCCACCCATTTTATTTTGGAAATGGTCCACCAACAGTTATAGGAATGGGCTTTCAAGAGTCATATTGCCAAAACGAACATTGTAATGGAGCTTTCAATGGCAATGATTGCATTCCATTGCAATTAATTCCTTTGAATCAAACACCACCTAAGGGAAATTGAAGCCAATCATGTTGCATTTTCACCAGCAAATAATGCCAGCAATTGAGCTAGCATTGTAAAACTAGCATGTGTTGATATGCATAGCCAAAAACAAATTGGCTCACACATATTATCCCGCCCTTACCCCCTACACCCTAAACATCCCCACATATTAATACACCAACCAGTTAAAAATGTGAACAAATTTGTCCATCACAATAAACTGCTTTCAATATAACAATTCTCATTGGTCCCAATGCAAGAAGAAAAAAAGATCTTAAGGATCTCCAGTAGTTTTACATCTTCGAATAGTAACATAAACCTTGTTCGATTTTATGATCAACAAAACGAAAAGTTCCCCTAACATAAACCTTCTTCACTTATGCATTTGTTATTTAATACTAAACATACCCAATTATAAACAGAGTGATGAAGATTATAAATAAATAAATAAAAGTATCGTCACCTTTCCAGTTCACTGTATTTGGTTTTCGGGCTGTGAAAAGAAATCTTTGGCATTACGTGCTACCTCTGCTTCAGCTATTGCTTCCAACACAATGTCTGATCCCTTAACATTCTCTGCCATCACAACCACTGGTTATTTATTTGGACATATATATCTAAGATGAAAAGCAAAACTATTTGCGAATTCACTGGAAAAGTTGTGGCATGTTCAGTTATACATTGGAACAATATTTGTGTGTGTCAGAACATAGGTTTATAGAAATAATTTAATGTGCAAGAGTTTTCATACTGTGCAATCAAGGATTGTATTTCCAAACATTATTTCAAGAGTATTCCTATGACATGTTTAAGCCAATAGCCCACCAAGTGAAGCCTCAACAATCCAGATACAGTTACCTTCGATAGAAACCAATTATATAGGGGAAATCATACACAACTAGACTAAGAGCATGAGTGACACCTTTGTTGACCAATTATACAGAGGTACATGTAAAAAATGGCTAGTAAAGACAACATTGATATGAAAACCATAATATATGTGCAGCAAACGCATTCATGACCTCTATAATCAAAGATAATGAGGGCAGTACAGAAAATTAAGTAGTGTACTTGAGAAAATTTAAATATTTGTTGTTCCTCAAGATAATGAAAAGGAAATGTCCATTCCCGGCAGCTCCCAGCAGAGTTCCCAAGTTGAGACAACAAAGTAAACTAAATGATAACATCATTAAGTGTCGTAACTCAGAAGATTATAACCTTTGCGATTTGGTAGCATCCCAGTGCTTTCAGCTGAAATTGGGAGGACAGTGAAAAGACCACTTTCATCTTTAAGGTTTTCTTGTTCTGCACTGCTCTTCAAAGAGCCAGTCTTCACAGCCTCAGATTCAGCCAACTTTGCATACGCAGTTGCTTGACTATGCAAATTAGGTGAGTCTGAGGTTCTGAAAGTATCATCCTGTCAAAGATATGTATAAGGAATTCAAGATGATGCAACATGGGCCATTTATACGAAGAAATGTGTTATTCAAACCTTCGCCACAGTATTTCTTGACTTCAGCTCCTCCTTAGGCTTCTCAAGTGAACTGTTGGCCCCTAAAAAGAAAACATATAAACTGGTAGTTAGGAGAGAAGCAAAACATTACTTGGCAGCAATGTATGGCTGCTAAGAATACTACCATCACTCAGAGGAGCCGGGTCTTGAGGATTATCCATCAGCCTTCGAGCCATAGGACCGGGATTCATAAGTGATATACTCCGGACTTCATAACGAATCGACTCTAGTTGTGCAAGTGCATCTTGAAGTTCTTTATGAACCTAAAGGTCAAGCACGGGGCATAAATGAACAGATAAATCATTTGGTTCAAGGACATTGAAATTCTAATCATTACCCAATTGTGCACAATGCATGTTAGCTCACAAAGAATTGACGATAGAATGATAATTATCAAATTATCATTAATTAAGTAATTACAAAAATGTACCTGGCGGGCTTGAGACTGCTGCATAACATTATCGAATTGGCCTCTAGCTAACTGAACATACCCGATTGACCGACCCGCTAACCTCCCTGCTGTTCTAGCAATTCTAGGCAAATCCTTCGGTCCTACAATTTACAACCCATTAAACATCAAACCCAGTTCAATTTTTCAGTCAATATTTCCAATAAAATTACCCAATTTTTGACCTTGGCAAAGAAAAATTCTGAACCAATGCTGACAATGAAAATGCTATAACAGCCCAACTCTCTCACATGGGTACCCAAACATTTAGGTTCCATCCCATGCCTAAGTCAGAAAAAGATTGAGAGAAAAATTGGAGTATAAATCATTTTTCTTTTGAGATAAACAATAAAGAGAGAGAGAGAGAGAGAGAGAGAGAGAGAGAGAGAGAGAGAGAGAGATTGGGCGTATACCGACTAGAGCAGCTGTAGCTCCGATCAAGAGGAAGAGCTCTCCGTACGAAATACCAAACATTTTGCGCCTTACTGTATAAAACGATTTGTCTGGGTAGCGTTCTTTCCTGATTTGCTGTTTGGGAGTTTTAAGTTTGAGCTCTGCATGTGTTTCAATGGAAAAGGAGGCTTTGATTCACCGGGAAAATACGGGATTGGGAAACTATTGGGAGAAAGAAGAAGAATTGTTGAGAAAGGGTTTCTTATTTTTACTTGCAACACATGGGATGGGAAACAAGGAGGTATCTCACAACAAATAGAATTTTGACACTTTTAAATTCCAAGTTTCAAAAGAAAAAGAAAAATTAAATAAATATTTTTTTTGGGTGGTTTTTTAATGAAAGCTAGGCATGCCTATCGCAGGTGAATAGATAGATATCTGGCACCAAAGTGTAGATATTTTGGATTGTCCAGCCATTCAATCCTCTAATGTGGCAGTCCAACAAATTGGTTTGCTGTGAATATAGCCAAATAGATGCACACACAATCAAAACCTAAATACCTAAACAGATGCAAAACTCTATCACAGAATTGAAGAGGAGCTGAATATCGAATTGGGGAAAAAAAGAAGAAAAAAGAGACAGAGACAGAGAATCTGACCTGCGTGACGGCGGCGACTGAGAGAGGCTGAGAGAAGAGCGGCGGCAGAGAGGCGTAACGTGATGGTTGAGACTGAGAGAGAGGTTTGGAAGAGGGCAGCGGTGTATGAAGGAACGAAGAAGAAACGAAATGGAAGAGAGGAAAACAAAGACAAAAAAACCTCAGTCATTCCAGTGTCTTTTTTTTGTTCCGTGTGATCCTGTGTGTGCGCACCTATGGTAGCAGTGTACATGCCCAATCAAACTTAGTCACGTATGAAAATATTTATAGGCATTTTTATGAAGTTTTGGGGTTAGGTTTGTTTTAAGAAATCAATGACAGTTTTATAATTTAAAAGAAGTTAAAAACTTTTTGTTATATTGTAACTGGGTTTTGGATGTGTTTCTAAAATCCATTTCATATATGTTTTTTTATATTTAAATTTGGGCTCCTATATTTATTATAATATTGAATCTTTAAATTTTTAAAATTAAAATAAATTAAAAAAAAAAAAAAAAAAAAAGCAGAAATAGTATATACAAAAAAGGTGAGGAGGTTGCTTTGATGTGATGCTTAACGCATCTCCAATAGTGACATGCAATGATGCAATACAACTGCACTGCACAGCATGATTTTCATTCAACGTGACTCCAAAGCATATCATCAACTCCAAGCTTGCACTTCAGACATAAAAGCACCAAATCAAACCCAAAAAAACCAAAACCACAAACTTAAAACTCCAAATTTCCAAAACCAATAATGAAAATTGCCTCATCTCAGATTCAAATTCAACAACCTGGGCCTCCCACAACCACCACCACAACCAACTCATTTTCTATTGAATCCATTGAAGCCTCAATCCAAAGCCTCACGAGGAGCTGGCATAGAAGGCAACAATGGCACAGGTTTTTTTGGTTTGATAATAATAATTCCACACAATTTCAAGACCTTAATTTAGCTCCATGGAGAACCCACTTGGCCAATTTTCTGGAGTCCACACCAATCCATGCAATTTCTATCTCCCTCCTCATTGTAGATCTCATCCTCACCATCCTTGAACTATCCTCATCTTTGCTAACCAAGTGCAACAACTCACCAAACAAGAACAAAAAGACCACACCAGAAATTTGGTACCATTGGGTGGGCATTGCTATCCTCGCCCTGCTTTCGGCAAAGATGGTGGCTCAAGCTGTGGGGCTTGGCATGCGTACGTTTCTCCTGCGGCGTCCCGGTTATGTTATTGACAGCGTTGTTTTGATGGGTGCGCTGGTTTTAGAAGCTTTTTTCGAGAGGAAAGGAGGGGGGCTGCTTGTTGTGGTGAGTTTGTGGCGTGTTGTCAGGGTTGTGGAGAGTGCTTTTGAGTTGAGCGATGAGGCCATTGAAGCGCAGATTCAAAGTGTTGTTTGCCAGTTTGAGATGCTGAGAGAAGAGAACAAGAGACTCGTAGAGACCATTAGTGAGCAGGACAAGATTATCGAGAAGCTCCAGGAAGATTTAGATCAATATTCTACTCACTAGTCATCACAATGCTTCACCTTATGATCAACAGTTATCATAGTATAAGGAATTTACCATTGTTTAAATTATTTGAAAGGATAGGATAATTACGAGCATATTTTTATAACGGGACGATCCAGTTAACACACTCACAACATAATTGCGTAACGATAATGGGACTAGACACAATTAGGTATTTATCTAAGTCAAAGCTGAGACATGTAGAGACAATTTCTATTAGTTTGTCCTCAAAAATTTCAAAAGTGTTTGTGAAAATTTATCCTTATGATCAAGCACATAAAATTAATTTGATTTCACATTATTTAAGCACAAAAATTTAGAAGGCTTTTTTTAATCACAAATGATCCCTAAGGTTTGTGAAATCATTAAAATGGTCCATGCCGTATCGTCAAAAATTCTGTTAAATTACTTACATGGCACGTATATGTAGCCCACATGTCCAATTATATAACGCCACATGGATTTTGAATAAAAAATTTATTTTAAAAATGGTTTATAATTTAAACTCACAAAAAATTGAAAATTAAAAGCAAATTAAAATTAAAATGTTTTTGAAAAAAGCTGCGGCAACTCTTTCGCGTCCCCTCCAGCCTCCTCCCCCTTCCGCCTCCTCCTATCTCTCTCTCTCTCTCTCCTCCACCCCGACCTAAACCCCACAGGCCCCCCTGACCCTCTCTCTCTCTCTCCTCCACCCCGACCTAAACCCCACAGGCCCCCCTGACCCTCTCTCTCTCTCTCCATCTGGGGTGGTGGTGCTATAGGAAAACAAAATCAAATACAAAATACAAAAAATTGGCTAAGAGGTCACAAAGTTTCTTTCCTTCTTCAACAAAACCCCAATTTTTGGACATAGATTGAAAGATTAAATTGTGGCTGAAGCAAATGGCCAGGTATTCAGAGTAGGTGCCCTTATTCAATCTTGTCAACCTTGTCAGCTTGCATGAGAGAGATCGGAAACTGGCACCCCGATCTCATGCAAGTTATAGCAACCAAGGATATGGAAACTGGCCATGGGTATGGAATTTTGGGTACCCCGGCATTGACATAAGAAGGGGGAGGAGGGAAGATGGTTGAGGGGCAAGGTGGCTGCGGCGTATGGTTGGGATGGGAACTGGTGGCTGCTGGGTATCTTCAATTTTTTTCTAAAGGTTTTTAATTATTTTTCTAATGATTTATCAATTTTTAAAACATTTTAAATATTGGTCTCATAAAACAAGAGTGGTGATTTCCCGACTCCAATTTTGTCCACTTGCACTCCATTTTATAACTGAAAAAAAAGTGTAAGTGGTCAAAATGAGAGTGGGGAAATCATTACCCTAAAACAAATATTTTAAATATATATATATATTTTAAATCCAAATCCACGTGGGGGTGTTCTTATTGAACATGTGGGCTCTATATACATATCGCGTAAAGAATTTAGGGCCAGTTTGGTAAAAAGAAAAGCAATTTCATTTTCACTTTCACTTATATAATTCTTGTATTTAATTTTTATTTTTTAACCTTCACACCTAAAATTTATTTTAATCATAAAATAAATAAAGTATTACTTTAAAATTGTTCAATCATTGCAATATTTAGGTGCTAGCAATAATAAATAGAACATAAAAATATAACCATGAATGAAAGGAGATTTCAAGCTAAAAGAGAAGACAATGAAATGCTCAACTTCCTTCCAATAGTAAAGTCACATTCTCTTATTGCCTTCAATACTTTTTTTTTTAACTTGCAAATGAGTCATGAATTCTTTACCACCACCGCTTTTCTCATTCAAAACAAAATAGTACAACAATCTTAAGGTGCACACCAACATTGCACATGATATAAAAGGATAAAGAAATATCTAAAGAAAGTTCTATGTATTCCTAATTCCGAGTAAAAAGCTTTTGTTTATAGGAAACAAAACAGCCATAAGTAAACCCATCTTAACCACACAAAAGAAATTGGCAGCAAATTTAGGAAAAATAATGTCAGTGAAACCTAAAAGATGACTAGTGCTTACCTATACAATACTACACCCTGTTTATCAGAATTATATCTATATTTCAATTCACTCATATTCATTGGGCCCGCCTATCAACCAAAGTGATACAGTTCACACACCATGAAGAACACTTCAGTTGGGAAGGGAAAAAGAAAAAAATAATTGACCAAGGCACCATTAGAATACCAGTTCACAATAATGTTTAAAGCTCCCAGGCTCCTCTGGCATAATAGTTGCGAGTACAGCCGCTTCAATTGATCCAACAAGAAAAAAAAATGGAGGAAGAATGGAAGAGAGGAGAAAGTGCTCTGTAGCGTGGGAAGGAGAAGACGCATGAAAAGGAGAACCTGAAATCATATTGGGGTATTTTCGGAATTTTGTAATTTTCATTAAACCTAGCGCCTCCTCAAATCTGATTATCGTATAATCATAAATTAAAAGCAGCCCATTAGCTGTTTTCCTTTATTGCTTTCTCCCACTGCAATTTTTAATAATAAGTGATTTCCTCATAGGTTACCAAATGGACTGGGCTTCCCAAATTTTTTTTTAAATCACTTATCACCCCAAATAAGCAATGCCAAACGGGCACTTAATAGAATTTTTGACAAAATCTCATGCCATGGACTATTTCAATATATGCGTAGTAACCTTAAGGACCAACCATGTCACAAAAAAAATGTAAAGGATCAAATGTAATAATTTCGCAAACTTCAAAGACCATTTGTGATAAAAAGCCTATTTAGAAATTTGATAGTAGGTTATAATTAAAGGTGGTTGTACCGATCACTATTATTTCAAAACATGTAGTCTAAAATGTAAAAGATTATAATCGAATATTGAATTTGTATATATCCTAAGTGACTGCTTAATGACTTCTCTCCTCCAGATATGTGTGTTATTTCTTTTGTCAAATTAATTGTGTAATCAATATATTGTAATGATGTTTTGAGTAGTGTGTAGTGTTTTTTTCCACATTGTCTTCTACTTCAACGGAGAGACCTTAACACTGACGGAAATTTATTTCCTCAATTTAGGGATTATGCAATTCAAATCCTAATTGACAAATTTGCCACTCCTTCTCCCCGAAGAAAAATAAATGTTAATAAAGTAATTCTCCGAATTTAGCATCAATAGTGATCTTCTACGCATGGTTATTAGCCAATTTTAATTTTGTTTATGTATTTGAGTTATAATATTCCTTGGTTGATCATCTATACATGCATGTTGGCAATTTCAATTGTCTTGACTAGTAACTTAAGGTGTCTGTCACTAGTTATCATTCAATATCATGAACAAAGGTGGGGTATTCTTAAATCGAAGGAGCGATGACTATATGCGTGGTCTACAAGCTTTCATTGGGCATTCATTAAGGCCCCATTTGGTTCATGGGAAAGGAGATTTGGGGATGAGAAATCAATTGCTTTCCCATGTTTGGTAAATCTGGGCATGCGAAATGGTTACCTAGCACATGGGAAAGTATGGGGGAAAGTGAAGCCCTCCTCTCAACTTGGGTTTTGCTTTCCCTCCTCATGGGAAAGGTTAGGAAAATGAGCCAACATTCAATGTATCATTACATGCATTCTTTTTTTTATTTGATTTAATATGGGTATAATTGGAAAATTATACAAACTTTGTTTTCCATTCATACTCAAAACAAACATGGGAAATGAAACAAAGTGAATCTCCCGGTTACTTTC